GACAATGCTGTCTGACGCTAGCGGAAGGTTAGCCTTCAACAGTTTTTGTCGTCAGTCAAATGCTTAATGAATTGTCATTAAGAGTACCGTCTTATACTCTTACCAGATCCTGACCTGGTGTAGGTTAATACTGATGCTCATGCATGAGAAGTGGACGAGTTAAACTCTAAGTCACTACGAAATGGAATTACAAGCCTATTAAAACAAAGTTATATTTAAACCACTATAAAGTTGTGACGTCACGAAACCAAATCGCTTACTGAGGCGAAGTGTCGCAAATAGCACTCAAGAGATTCATTGCTAACTACGCATTAGAGATGTTACTATTATATCCATTTCGGATCTAGATACGAATATGGTTATAGGAATAGTAATCTTATACTAGAATGCGGTTGAGTTTCAAATTTAAAGTGATTACAGATTCGTCAGTCTCAAACATTATCTGTTTTAAAACCACTGATGTACATTTTTAAATATTGTTACTAGTCTTTATACACATTTTTTAGGGTTTGTTTGCCAGGGTAAAATCTTCAAATGACTCCCCTCACCTAGGGCAAGGCGAGAAAGAATGTCAGACTCTTACTGACTAACCCCCGCCCCCAGTTCCTTCTCCTGCTCTAGGTTTTTTTAGGGTGGATAGTTATCATCGTGACTTCCTGTCTTGGGTGGATCAAAAGAGAATGTCAGACTCTTACTGACTAAAGACTAACCCGTTCCTTCCATTGCTGCAATACATTATTATGCTTGCACCCGCATTCCATGTGATCTACACAAACGTAATGTTTGTACCTTAATTTGAATAAAATAGAATTTGATTTTGAAAATGGACCAAATATAAAAATAAATGCTGACAGCTACGTTTAAACCCATTTAAATGCTAATTTGATTATCCAAAATTTAAGTTTTCAATATTGTTTTATGAGATGGTGAATTTAATTTTCATTTTAGACAACTGTTAGGTTCGAAGACAGTTACGAATCTTAGTAGCATCCTTGTTACGTATTTAATTGTTATGTAAATAAGTTTAACACATATGTATTGGATGTGAGCGAGCCTTTGTACATGTGCACTGAAATAAGCGGAAAATTACTCTGAGACATTATTTAGCTTTAGATATAGTGGCTGCTTGCCGTGTATAATTTTAGGTATGAGAATCCCAATTCGCTTCGAGTAGGCTTGGTGATTAATGCCATTACTTTTTTCATTCGACACGAGGAATATTCTTACCAGTGGAATATTTACAAGCTGATATTAATGATCAGTTGTGGGAAAGCCATTTTCGGCACGAATCGATCGGCTGCACCGAAGTGATACCACAGCCTCTCAGAAAACTGGCGTGAAACAACCGTTGTGTTTCACCGTGTGACCGACTTACCCTCGAAGATTCGCCGTGTGAGTGAGGTTACCGGAGGCCCAACCCTTCCCCTACCCCAATCCGTGCCCAGCCCCGAAATTTCCAAATTCCTAATCCTCAAAAAATCGGCAACGCACTCGTAACTCCTCCATTGTTGCGGGTGACCATAGGTGGTGCTGATTGCCTCCTTTAAAGTCATCCACCTACTTGTTTGTCATCCTAAAACATAAAAAAGCCAAATAACAAGATCATCGAACACATCTTTCGCTTCACGGACATTCGACAGCGTCGATTTTAACCGATCAAAAATAATTCTAACTTGCCCGGTACGCCCATCTCGCAGCCGCAACGCTAAATCCATATCCTTTTACGCAACACGGTTTTAAAACGAATTTAGTGAGTAGGCAAATGTCGATTTGCAACCATCAGTTGATTTATTGCCCATTTCCTATGCAATAACAACTTAAATGCCTAGTTGCGTTCCAACTGCCCAATTTACATTGAAATAGTCTCTCACTTCCGTGTAGGTCTGTTTATTTCAGGTGCTGATCTGTAAATAGGTTTTTGATTACCTGTTATTTTTTACTAGAATAGTTACAAACAATGCTACATTCTCTTTTTTTGAATAGAAGTCTATCTTTATCATCGTTATCAACAGCCTGTAAGAGCTGGACTATGAAGAAGAAATAAAAAACATTTCCAACCTCATCATAAATGTAGATGATTGGCAGTCACAACTGTATAACTGTATTTCCGGACTGATACGACCTTCAAACCTTCAAGAATCGAGCGTACTTCTTCTTAAAACGCCATTTTTTTTTTTTTTTTAAAAAAACGTTGCCCCACACTAGGATTTTCTCCTGTGTCGTGGGTGCGTTTACAAACATACAAATTCACATACACATGACACCCAGACCCGAAACAACAATTTGTGGATCACACAAAGTGTTGTTCCGTGCGGGAATCGAACCCGCGACACGTCGCACGGCAGCCAGTTGCCCAGCCACCGCGCCAACTGTGCAGTCTGTCTGTCTGCAACTGTTCCGTCTGCTGGTTTAACTCTTATTCCATAAAAACTGTACATATTTGCACTATGACCATTATAACTATTACAAAATAAAGTTAACCTACGCAAAATGACCGGTGATCAAGTAAAGCACATAATATAATGTACAAAATAAATAATTATATAGTATTGGCGTGATTGTCAAAGATATTTTATGCAATGAGTTTTTGGTTGCCTTCCTTCAATTGCATCTACAATTTGGAACGAGCAAATGGCTTCATTAAAAGGACTGACCGACACAAGGGTCGACCAACAGACAGACATTTTATATCTTTAATTTTTGTTTGACGTTCTAAAGTGCCTGTAATGGTCTAGTATTGAAATAAATTATTTGACGTTGACTGAGACTTTGAATTACAGTCTCATTTCGTGTTAACGTTAGGTTCACTCCATATACTTTTACGTCTCTTTTTCCTCAAATGGATAGACGCATTGTGTTCAATGTTGTAAATAATTCAAAACTGGAATATTTTTTCCCAAAAAAAATCTTTTTTATGAAATTAGCGGCATTCTCGATCAGACGAATAATATAGTAACTGATCCGTGCCACACCTGTACATTCGCAACACAAAAGAGTGCCAAGTGCTGCAGAAAGAGATCACTCTTTTCTTCAAGGACATTTTTCTTAATTCTCTAATTAATGTGTAGTTGTGGTACAAACACTATAACTTATAATGTCCAAATACTAGGAATATGTATGTACCGTATGCAAAATTGTTTTAATAATATTTTTTAATTGAAAATTTTCCACAACGATATTTTGCGAAAATCAAGTTCAGTCATGGAAATAATAGGGGAGGAAAATAAACAGACTAAATCCAATAATTATTTACATGGGCCCCATGCAGGGTTCGATAAATTTGTTTACACAGGTCCTCTTACTAGTTTTGGGAAGAGGATATCTTTTGACGTAATGATAGCTTTTGAATATTTTACGATGTAACTCTTGTTTGCATATACACATTTATCTCCGGAACGGCTTTTTCAAATTTAACAATTTATTGATTTTTGATAGTCCGTTTATTTAAGAAGGCTATAAACATCACGCTCCAAAAGGAATTGTTAGGGTAATAAAACAACAATAAGTTGTATTTCGCCTTGTGATTGAGGTTTTTTTATGGTATAAGTCGGCAAACGAGCAGAAGGATTACCTGATGGTAAGCAATCGGCGCCGCCCCATGGACACCCGCAACACCAAAGGAGTTACAAGTGCGTTGCCGGCCTTTTGGGGATAGGAGTTGCGGATATAAGGATCGGGAAGGGATAGGGGAAGGGGTTACCAGACGCCAAATATTTTCCCTCTTTCAATCTCTAAACATTACAAACCCTTATCTCAAATAGGCCGGTTACGCATTTGTTATTTCTTTCATTTAACGATTTCTTATTGTAACTTCTTTCGTGTTACGATTTCTTACGATCAGGTAATTCATCGGCATTTTGGTCGTCCTTATCGCAAACAAAAATAAAATGTATATCAACACATAATTCGTCCACAACTTCAAAACTGTGGAATAACAAAACCATTCTTTTATTTCGTTCTGTACGGGTATCTCTTTGTTGCTGCAGTTGCCTTAGTAAAGAATAGAAAGTTACTGAGCCACACGTGTTTGTTCAATCACCGGGTCACAAATATTTGTGTGACTCGATCGTTATGCCAGGAAACTCCGTGTGTGATGACGTAGTTTTCACAATACTTTTTTACTATCTTGTTGTAGACACCGAATATGTTCCCCTATGAATAACGTGGTCTCGAATTTCTGTGTTTCACTTGGGAAAGTTGAATTTTTCGGTTTCCGTGACTTCTTCCCATCAAATATAGCCTCTGTAATTATAAGAATATGGTTGTCCCTTGTTACAAACGGTTCAAGCAAAATAAATTTAATGATTTTTTTTCCTGACATGATTTAATTTGACATTATTGTTCCTATTATTTTACTATTGTTATTAATCTGACATTTTGGGTAAATATTTTGATGATTGACATTTTAAATTTATTCAGTATCAATCTAATTATGTGTAGTATCCATCAATTTGTGAAAATAATAATATTTGCATGCCCATGTGACGGTAGAATGTGGAGGGACCTAATCTAATTATAACAAAACATCAATGTATCAATCACCTATGTTTATAAAGAAAAAAATGAATTATGATTGAAAGTAGTCTTAAAAATAACTGATCTTTAATTGAAAACTGATGATTGCTGTGTCATCATGGATTCTATAATATACTATCTAGATACTACCAGTGCGCTTTAATTTTTCCTTTTTGGAATTAATGTAGAATTTTCTCCTGCATGCGATGAAAACCTTACAATTTCATTTACACAATACATGACACACAGAACTGAAAAAATACAAAAAGTTATTCCCAGCGCAGTAGCCGAATTCTCAGCCATTGCACTCGCCATAAGAGAAAATAAAAAAGAGAGAAAAGAGAAAAGAGATAAGAGAAAAGAGTCTCGTAACCCGTAATTCGATAGACGATTCGACTTATCGAATTACGGGTTACGAGACTCTTTTCTCTCTACTCATACTTTCTTTGTTTAATTTAATCTTATTTCTTTCTCCATTGTTACAGTCAGTATCAGTGACGGTGTCAGTTCTGACGCTGACCTTCATCTCCGTGGACCGCTGGTACGCCATCTGCTTCCCGCTCAAGTTCAAGTCCACGACAGGACGCGCCAAGACCGCCATCCTTATCATATGGCTTCTGTCTCTGTTATTCAGTGAGTATGGAATGAAATGATACTTAGTATATTTTCAGAGATAAGCTACAAAAATGACACTTTTGTAAGTCAACACCCATGCATTTCCTATTTTTTATTTGTAAACTCTGAAAATAAACACCGAAACAAAGTCATCTACGTCACTGTCGCTGTTGCCTTTTTCTTGAGATGAGGAAATCATGTAATGGGTTCTTTCGCCCTGGACGGAGTAAGAGGGAGTGTCAAACTTTTACTGTTCTTTCTCCTACTCCGAGCCAGGTTGTGGTACATGGAATTGAAAGGTCATTTTGCAGTGGTCTAGAAGAGAACAACACTGAGTTCTTCACAGAACAATAAGATTTATGTTATAATCCCTCCCGCCCTTTTGGATATTTTTCATGACGTTCTTAATTACACATATAAATAAGTAATCAGCTTTTGGTATATCTTATGACTTCTTTTCCCATGGAACGATTTACAAGATTAATAGTAAGGATCAACTGTCCATACCGATACTAAAACAAGATGGCAGCCATCTAATCCCTGGTATTCCTCATTATGTTCATCATTAATCAAATTCCTGTTTTATTAAAACTGGACTGATCCGGAACATCTTTTATAAACGATCATAATCCAACATCGTCCATCAAATACTTTGAACGAATCCGATCATTTAATTGAAAAGTGTTCCCCAAGGTACACCTGTTTATGTTTTTTTATTACTGACTAGCTACTCTCGCGCGGTTTCACCCGCTGCTAGGCTCCATTGTATCGTAGCGTGATGTTTTAGCCTGTAGCACTCAGGAACATTGTAGCTATCTATCAGTGAACGAATTTTGGAAATCCGACCAGCGGCAGCGGTTCCAAAGATTACTCCCTACATACAAACTTACAAATTTTACCTCTTTATAATATTAGTATAGATTTATTTTTTTAGTTACTGGAAATGTTCTTGTCTCTCTGTTTTAGATTGGCTAATAGAATACCACTTTTATTATAAAATGCTAAGTAGTGCTTATAAGGTTGTATCTGGGAGAATCGGGGAATTAAAATGCTTTTGCCGAGTCGAGTGCCGAGTTATACCATTCTTTTCCAGCGACGCACTAATAACACCTCGCGGGTTTTCATGTTCAGTGCAGATTGATTACCAAATGTTGACCTCCTATCATATAAGGAAGAGTTTGTCAGTTTAATTCTCAATTTTTTAATCAGTAGATGAATGTCCTCATTTTGTTATATATTTTGTGTTTTACTGTCTCAGGAGACGATCGCTTTGGCTCATAGCAATGTTTTTACTACCTATATAACTATTGTTTCCTCTACATATCTTTAAATAACCGACGCATCCTATAATAATAATTAGATGTTTACATCGACTAATACCTTCGGGAACATACAAGCTTAGTGTATGTCACATATTGCATATTATCAAACAGCTTTATAATACTTCCCTAACATACTCCAGGGGCTTAGTCTAATGTTTCAGACGTTCAAGACTCCCAAAGGAATTTACGGATTATCTTACATGAGATAAATTTATGCTCAAGCATATTAAAATGTTAATATTTAATCAATTTGTACAAGTAACCCTTTGGCTCACAATATTGTGGTTCTGTTTTGTATCAAGTATCATCATATTATAATGTATGAAAATGTATATTATAAAATATATGCTAATGATGATGAAGAAGAAAATATTATTTTGGCTTCTAGAAGTAGTAGATTGAGAAAAATACCTATATACAAAATTTTAAGTATAGTCATGTTTCGAGTTTGAAGCTCAAATTGTCTCGTTTTTGGAGATGCCTTTGCTCATCAGTGGTCACTTATAGCCTGATAATAATGTTGATGATGATGGTTGTATACCTTTTTTTTGTCAAGGGAAAATCATCAAATGACGTCTCTCGCCCAGGGTAAGGCAAAACAGAGTGTCAGACTCTTACTGATTAAAAACTCTCCCGTTTCTTCTCTTGCTCTGGGCCGTGGCCGCGGTAAGTCATTGCGCTTAACTCGCAACTCCGGCTGAACATCAGCCCTATAGGGCCCAATCTGTGGTGGTCTATTGGCTCTTTGAGGCACGCGCGGAACGCTACACGCTGTCCGCTCGGGGTACCCCTAGCTTATTATTTATAATTACTAAATGCAGCAAAAGTTTACCTGACCCCTAACTATCTCGTCACGTAGTTTGCTAAAGTTTGTTCCGAATCTTTTGGATTCCAAAATGTTTTCTAGCATAGTTCGGTAGTACATAACAATGTTGTTAAATAGTTTTGTTAGTGTTGTGTGTTGTGTTAGTGTTGTGCCAAAATTTTTTTTAAAGCAAAGTTTAATTATCGTCGTTATGCAGTATTCTAATAAACGTAAATGTTAAAGGATCATTTTGTATTACCTCTAGCCCCAGCTCTTTTACTTCAAGACATAATAATTTAGGTACTACCTATGATACTTTCCTTTTCGTTGTTTTTTCTGAATGGCCAAAGGATATACTAAAAGGCATTTCAAGGTTATCCATTCTTTACCGGACACCCTGTATAAGAGGGATCAGTTTCAATTCTGTATTGCAATATGTATCATTACTATCATTATATCAGAAAGTTGGATTATACTATATATATGTGTGGTAGAGACATGTTTCGACACGAATGGGCTGACTCAATCAGAGTGATACCACGGCCTCACAGAATACAGACGTGAAGCAAAGCTACGTTGTGTTTTATCACGTGAATTAATTCAGCAGATGCCAAATCCTTCTATGCTATGTATACATAGTATAGTCTGGCAAACAGATCAACAAGTGCGTAGCCGACCTTTTAGGGGTTACGAATCTGAGGATTAGTAAGGTAACCTCACTAAGCGAGGTGTCCAAGTAAAGTGAGAGGTATAGAAAGTTTTAAGTACGGGAGAACCCTTTTTCGGTGTAATAGCGTCGTATTTTGCCATGCGAGTGAGGTTACACAGGAGGAAAGAGAAAGTAAATTTAGGTCAGAAAAATCACATTCATACTAGTCAGGTTTTGATGCTGCATACTTGAAAAGTGGCTTATCCAAGGACTACCATTTTTATTGTGGTATTATTATTATAATTTTTTCCTAATTATTTTTCATATCTTTGCATTTTGTTTTCTCCTAATTGTTAATAATCTCCTTTCTTTCCTTCCTTCTTTCTTTCTTTCTTTCTTTCTTTCTTTCTTTCTTTCTATCTTTCTGTCTTTCTTTCTTTCTACCAAGATATTTTTGTAACAAATTTATTGAACGTAGAGAACGACTTACACGCGTGAATTAACCGAGTCAAGCTCTACTCCTTTCAAGTCACAACGGAACCCTTATTCATGAGCAGCGTGCGCATCTTGACAGCTGTCTGAATAAGAAACAGCCAATAGTTGTAGATAGATGGTTATATTTAACAACTGCATTAGAATCAGTCGATAGTGTAGCGACATCTATCGCACAACATTTACAACAGCACCAATCACGTGCAAGTTTCTACATCGCGCTATAAGAGTTTACAACACAATATTAGCAGTGATACAAAAATCCCGACAATAACCGTCGGGCAGTAGCCCACTAGGCACGAACACCTCGCCTGGTCGGAGGATCCTCCCTTTTCAATGGAGGATGAGGAACTTTCCACCCTGTTCCTCATACCTCTAAACTGGACGCGTATTACATTTAATTATTTTTTTATATCCTTTAATTATAATACTACTCTGTCAAGAAAGTACCGGGAAAAAGTCAATAATATACAAAATGTTTGTTATTCATCTAAATTTATTTTATCACCTTCAAAGTATGCTCCTTCAGAAACGATACACTTACGCCAACGAATAATCCAATCATCGAAACTTTTTTTAAACGCTGTTTCCGGAATTGAGTTCAGTGCTCGCCGCGAATTCTCCTTTATGTCTTCTAACGATTGAAAACGGGTGCCACGAAGGGGTAATTTGAGTGTGGGAAAAAGAAAGAAGTCGGCTGGAGCCATATCTGGTGAATATGGTGGCTGCTCGATGGTGTTTGTTGAGTGTTTGGACAAAAAATCGTTTACAATGATGGCCTTGTGCGAAGGCGCATTATCGTGATGCAAAATCCAAGAATTTTCTTTCCTCATTTCTGGCCTTTTTCGTCGAATTTGTTCTTAAGAAAACGCCGCATAACGCTCAAATAATATTCTTTATTTACCGTTTGACCTTCGGGCAACAATTCTGAGTGCACAACACTGCGATAGTCAAAGAAAACAGTCAACATGACTTTGACTTTTGATCGACTTTGACGTGTTTTTTTCGGTTTTGGTTCAGTTGGAAGGCGCCATTTCGAAGCTCGTTCAATAGTTTGCATGTCAAACTCGTAAACCCACGTCTCGTCTCCAGTAACAATGCGCTTCATGAATGTTGGGTCGGTATTGACTCGTTCTAGCATGTCCTCAGCGACTTTCATGCGATTTAGTTTTTGAAGAAAATTCAGGTCTTTTGGGACTAGCCGAGCGGCAACACGTTTCATACCCAAATTATTTGTTAAAATGGTACGGATCGACTCGTGAGATACAGAAAGAAATTCGGCGGCCATCTCTCTCAAACTTGAATGAGGATTTTCAGTCACTATTTCCTTCACTTTTGCGATGTTAACTTCAGTTGCAGACGTTGATGGCCTACCAGAACGAGGCAAATCTTCCATCACATCTCGACCGCTTTTGAACGCTTTTTACCACTCATAAGCACGTGTTTTTGATAAAGTCGATTCACCGTAAGCCTTCTGTAACATTTTGAGTGCATCCGAACACGAAATTTCATTGGCGATGCAAAATTTAAGACAAACTCTTTGTTCGATGTTTTTGTCCATTATGAAATTCGCAATACACACTAGACATTATAAAACTAAAAACAGCACTGTTTTTAATATAAATAACAGATGCAACTCTAATTCCGCGCCAAAATGGAAAACAGTTATGCCAATCTAACAACAATAAAAAAAAAAATTCGAATTTGGAACCATAAAAAAAACATTAATTCCCGATACTTTGTTGACTGAATGTATTATCTTTCTTCTACAGATGTACCAGAATTCGTGGTGCTACAAGTTCAGAGGAAGATGCAGCTTCGGTACAAGGCGGAGTATTTCATGCAGTGTACTTCCACGTGGTCAGACGAAAGTGATCTCAAATGGCATATCATTAAGGCTCTGTTTTTATATACGTGAGTATTAGATAAAAAGAAAATTTAAAAGCTAGATAATATTATCTTTGTTTTAGTGGGTAAAAATAATATTATTATTGTTTTGATTAAATATAGTGGAGACCACGTCTAGGCAAACGTAGTGTAGGGCGCCCTCCAGCTAGGTGGACTGACGACATCTGCAAGATGGCTGGCAGTGGTTGGATGAGAAGAGCTGAACATTGAGTTCAGTGGCGTGCAATTGGGAAGACCTATGTCCAGCAGTGGACTACAAAAGGCTGATGATGATGATGATGATGATGATTAAATAAAATGTTATAATTAAATATCCAAAGTTTTGTTCTTGGGTATCATTCTTCAGACAGTCAATAAGAATCCAAAATTTTTTTTCAAGGAATGTAATGTAAAAAAACTACATGGCTTTTAGAATTTTCTTATACATATAATATAAATTAATACGTAACCTAATGATACTTTTATTCCAAAAAAATAAGATTGATGTTGTTTTGTCTCTAGATTTCCATTATTCCTGATGATGATAGCGTATTGTCAGATCGTCAGAGTACTGTGGAGATCAGACAACATTCCTGGACACACAGAGTCACACACGCTGTGCTCCACACCGCAAGGTCATAACAACTGCAAGAATTGTAAGTATAATTTCTTATTATGAACTCTATTTACAAACTATTAAAGATACTATTATGTATAACATCAAAGTCATAACGTGGCAAGACGATCAACCTGTCCTATAAGGTAAAAAAAGATTTTGAACTTTATTATATCGATACAGATTAAGACGAATTTTCAATGAAAACATGACTTTTGACTGGTCACTAAATATAATTTCATTCTAAATTTGAAATCTGGCTAATAATCCTTGATTGGAACAACGTTTCCATCTTTAATAGCAATAAAGCTCTGTAATTAATATTATATATGGTGGTAGAGGATTTAGTGTCTAAAGCCAATAGTACTAATTTAATAATAGACTTTTAAGAGAACATAATAGTATATAGGTATTTATAAGACAAGAAGTCTAAAAGTAAGTCGTATGGTCTCTCACGGCAGCGTATACATATTATGCATAGTATACATAGGTAATATATTGCCTCTTCCGCGATTTCAATTTCCGCGGTAACGGTTGTCTTATGAGTCAATTATGGAATAACATTGTTAAGAATTTGACAGCACGGTTGTCGCGGTGGCCAGGCAACTGGCCTGCCGACTGAAGTCGCGGGTTCTAGTTTCGCACAGAACGGTTGTCCGGGGTCTGGGTGTGATGTATATGGGAAATTTTATGTTTATAAATGCACCTGAGCACTAGAGAACGCAGCAGCCTCCATAAGCTGAGATTGCCCGTCGAGTAAGAATATGAGAAAGAACGGGTTTGGATTTTAGTTAGTAAGAGTCTGACTCACCCTCTTCCCACACATCACTAATCAAAAAATTAAGTCTCCAAACACAAATGCAGATTCTGATCTCCAATCCGCTTGCTAAGCACGTTCATTATTTTCTACCCCTTTATCACCCTTTTTTTCTAGTCGTGGTCCGTTTGAAGCACTCATCTCTTATGAGCTGTCAAGTCTAAACCTAACACTTTCTTCTTAGGGCTTGCAGCAAATAGACGTACGACGCCTTCAATTCACACCAACGCATCCACCGAAGGCCAGCTCCGCTCCAGAAGGAAAGCTGCCAAGATGCTGGTTGCTGTAGTAGTCATGTTTGCAGTCTGCTATTTCCCTGTACATCTACTCTCTGTGCTGAGGTAAGGAAGACTTATTAATGATGAAAGTAATTTTAAATACTTACTTGAATATACGATATGCGACACTAATTACTTGACTTCGCGTTTGTCGCAGTGACTAGGCAACCGACAGTGTCGCTGATCGTTTTGTTATCCACAATTTGTTTTACGGTCTGCATATTATACATATTTATGTGTGTATTTGAACTTTTAATATATTTGAAGATTCACCTACGACATAGGAGAGATACATAAAGTAGTTTTACATAAAAGGTCTCCAATATGCCGATTTCAAACGATAACCAGTCACCGTTTACACAATCCTACTATCAGCCCGATCGTTTGCTATCGCATGACTTAAAAAACCTACCAACGAAACACAAATAATTACTAATATTATAAAGAGGTAAAATTTGTAAGTTTGTATGTTGGGGGTAATCTTTGAAACCGCTGCCGGATTGCCGAAATTCTTTCACTGATAGATAGCTACAATGTACCTGAGTGCTATTAAACATCACGCTACGATAAAATGGAGCTGAGTAGCGGGTAAAACCGCGCGAGAATACCTAGTCATACATAATAAAAGTTACCCAAGCTTAGAAATAAAAGTGTACCTAAGCAAGAACTTCAAAACTTGGTAAAATTATCGTAATAAACCAGTTCTAGTGCTAACGATTAGATAATACTTTTTGAAACCTACACATGTGAAAAGTTTGCGATTTAATTTTAATTAGACCTACAAAACTTTGTAGACGATATGTTATTGTTATTAGTAACAATTTTCGAACAAACTTTAACAATATTTATGCTTAAAATAAAATATAACTTCTGCTAACTTAATAGGTACTGTTTGTATCAAAAATTAAAAAGTATTTTAAGTCTGGGAAAACCATGCTTCGGCTCGACCGAAGTTACAATACTGTCTAAAAAAACCGGCGTCGTGAAACAATCACAGCGTTGTGAGGTTACCTAAGGCCCAATTCATTTTCCCGCTCCCATACCCACTTAATCCTTAAATCTCTAAAATCATAATACCCAATAGGCCAGCAACGCGCCCATAACTGTGCAATTGCCACTCATGGGCCACTACTTAAACATAGTTTCGTTTAAGACTGATGAATTAGTATCTTTCTCGTTCTATTCCATACGAATCTACATTTTGGAACGAAGACCTAGTCTCGGTAACGGATCGACTGGCAGTTCAACTTTCAAGTTGCAAAATGAGAATTACATCGGATTTTTTGTAACAAATGCTTAAATGCTTTATAGGTATTTAGTCTATAAATATATCCAGAAAAATTTCCTTCTTTTTCTAAAGCGTTATCGGAAAAAGAGATAAAACTAAATTCAATACGCCTCTATCAGTAACATTCAAAAGTTAGAAATGTTCAAGACTGAACCAAGATTATCCATCGACTTAAATCAATAAATGGGTGGGAACAAGGAAAGGGTTTTAACGATACAATTAATATTCTAGTCAGGTTGTTAAGAAAAGGAGAAAATTAAATGTTACTCATTTATTGGTGCCATTGTAAAGACCCCGTTTTGAAATAGATATTATATAATGTACTTAAGGGTCGAATGATCCAGACGATGGCTTCGATGATCTGGAAACCGTTTTTGTTTTGTTTTTGAAAATCATCAAATTAATGACTCCTTAAGAAAAAGGAAAACTTCTGTCACGATAACCGCCCAGGCTGGGGAGGTATCAGTATGTCAGTGACTTAAAATCACTCCGTTCCTTCTCCTGCTGCAGGCCGAGATCGCAGTATATTTTAGCGCAAAACCATCTGGATATATATAATTATTATCTAAGAAAAGTTCGATTCAGTTAAAAAACTTGGTCCAAAATACATGAGGTTTTCATATGAATTCATTGAATCCTGCTACACTGGAGAACTTACATGTGTAGTCTGTACCGGTCTCTCGAGGGTCGTGATAAGGACGGAGTATAATAATTCAATAATTGTGTCCAAAAAATATACACAATCAATATTGGGTTTGGAGTCTTTATTTAAGCAGATAATGCCTGTATTTAAAGACTCCGCTCCTTCACAGCAGTACCTATGTACTTACATTAAACACAATAAAAAGAGGGAAATGGGTGTAATAATATATGAAAATAATTATATTATGAACGTGTGTGTGTGTGTGTGTGTGTGTGTGTGTGTGTGTGTGTGTGTGTGTGTGTGTGTGTGTGTGTGTGTGTGTGTGTGTGTGTGTGTGTGTGTGTGTGTGTGTGTGTGTGTGTGTGTGTGTGTGTGTGTGTGTGTGTGTATGTGTGTGTGTGTAAAATTGGACACCCTATATACAAGATTCAATACAAGATTATTAAGTCAAAACAAGACCCTGCAGATCTTACCGAGACTACTGAAACTGCAGATTGTAATTCAAATAAAATTTATTATGTAAGACACGTTTCTTAAAATATACAATTATAAATTTCCGTCTGACATTTTTCCACAATTTTAATTAGCCTACGCGCCTTCCTGCTCTGAGTGAATCGTAATTAATTAGCTGTGCGAACATTTATAATTGTTAGGTTTCTTTCCCTAAAGAGTGAACAGTGAGGCCTCGTTCGCCGTACATTGCGTGTTATGTTTGTGCTCCCGCGGCCGATGGTGCGGTCCGTCACGCAATGTATGACAAACAGACGACGCACTGCGTAACGTAGTATTTTTTATGGTAGGATCAATTTTAAACACACAGACATGATTAAGATGTTGTCAATTTTTAGTGTCGTTTTGAATCGAGGTACAATGAAGGAAAAAGTGTTTGGAATAAAAAAAAAGTTAAAGTATTTGCGCAATATTTAAATACTTTAAAAATAACTCATTTTTAATAGTAATATTTGGGATTCGAGGCTGAAATTCAACGCGATACCACAGAATTTTAAACCTCCTAGTGGTTTCGTAACCACGGAATAAACAATTTCCAGTTTGATTTCCAAATCGGTTATGCCATAGCCGTACATAATCATAACTTTCTAAAATTAACTAACTTAGATAACTAATTAAAATTAGATAACTTTCCATACTGTTAACTGATTTGAGGATAGAACCACAGATGTTTATATACTAAAAAAAAAACATTATATTCATTAGATTCACTCATCTTGACAGTACGAAACACAAATCAAAAACATATATTCAGAAATTGAATTTAGAATTATGGTCTTTAAAATTTAAACTTTCAATGATACCAAAACCAGCCAGATACATATAATATAACAAAATAGAGTTTATTACAAGTTTATAAATTTTTTAATGTGAACATTTTTCCCAACCTACTTTTTTATGTCATAAGTAAGCAATCAGCCCGCACATGAACAATCGTAGTACCAAATGACCTACTACAATTTTGTTGCCGGTCTCTTGTATGTTATTAGAAATTAAAAGATAGGGGATTTTAAGATTTAGGATGGGGGTGAAGAATTTGAACCTCACTCACACACACAACGTGAGTGTTGCGTCGTCTGCGAGGCCACAATAACTCTCCGACGCATGGCTCTCCCACACTTAGTATAATAATCCTAAGATGACTGGACCTAAAACAATATTATTATTACATAATATTTTTTCACAGGGTGGCATACGATGTCCAGCAGACTGATGTGATGACCTGCATAGCACTGATCAGTCACGTCATGTGCTACGCCAACTCAGCAGTCAACCCGCTGATATACAACTTTATGAGCGGTATGTATTACTTATTGTATTATTTTTTATTCAATTTATAATTTGTATTTTATTTATTTATTTTGTATTTGGTTGTGGTATTACGTCTTCCCCCAGATACAGAATTTTGCGAAAGCCAACGGTCTTTTAATGATACCATATAGTACATATATTGTTTCAAATATGCGAGATAAATTTATTGCGTAAATTAATAGAGACGAAGATTTTATGAATTTTTAATTTCAATTACGTATATAATAAAAGAAATATAACATATAAATAAGAAGAGCACGAATGGGTCGGTTCGACCGGAGTGATACCACGGCCACACAAAAAACCGGCGTGAAACAACCACAGCGTTGTGTTTGGCCGTGTGAGTGAGGTTACCGGGGGCTCTATTCTTCCCCTCCCCTAATCTCTAAATCTCGAGACGTCGCGCAGTGGTATGTTCCACAGGGATCGGTCCCGCGATCGCTCCTGTGAAACGTCGGAAAAAGTCTTCTTCTGGATTCTCAGGATACTTGCATGAAATACGGGCGCCTTAACATCCAGGCCACGGCCCATCAGATTATAATATTCGTAACGTTAGTTTTCGTTCAATCGATTGCCAAACCAGTTGATACGTAAAGACATCTGTATTCGATATGCGCAACAGCTCATTGCTAATGGTCATATATCACAAATACTTCTTTAATACTCCTCATCAAAGAAACAATGTACGTTAGTTAACCAACGGAATTTGACAAACAAAAATAACATTTATATACTCCGGATAGCATAGCTAAAAATAAAATAATCCCTTGAACGTCAGTCCAATAAATCCGGCAGAAATCGCACAGGGATTTCTATTCGCGATTTACGTAAATAAACGATTGCTTTATGTAATCCTGTCAATTATTCTTGTAATTGGACATGGAAATACAGGAAAAGATGGTTGGATGGAAGTAGCCTGTGTAATTAGGTTATTTTTTTAAATAACAGGCAATTGTTTACCATTGAATGTCACATTGTTTTTTTGTGATAATATGTATACATATATACCTATACGAATAGGCCGATATTGGTGGTAATAAAGACAATTCACTTTGTGAGGTGTCAAATAATTTTCTGTATCTTAAACTGGCTTCCGACCGCGGCTTCGCCCGCGTGGTATGTTGATAGAAAGTAGCTTATTCCAGAGTGTATCCTATACCTGTGCCACATTCAGATCTGTCCAGCCGTTATTGAGTAACAAACATCCAAATAACCAAACATCGTAACTTTCGCATTTATAATATTATCAAGATCAGTCGGACATCGTGGTGGCCCGGAGGTTAAGGCGCCCGCTTCTCCTGCATGGGGGTGCGGTTCCGCAACCTATCAAGTACCAATATGACTTTTTACGAGTTTAATGTACTACCCATGATTATCTAGACACCACTAACATACGGTGATAGAAAACATCGTGAGGAAACCTGGACGTTTAACTGTATAAATATTCGAACCTCTCCTGTGATAAGAGGCCTTTGTTCAGCAGTGAGCATTTACAGGCTGGTCTGGTGACAAACTAACTGCCGGATTACCTGCCGGCTAGAGTTTTTTGCTTGTTTTGGGTATAAGAAATATGAAGGTCATCGAGACCAGAACCGAGAAAAGCTCATCGACTTCCGTATAATTTCCTACAAATATTATTCACTTTCTTTAAACAGACAATAAGGTTTCGTAACAAATTTCAATTATAAATTATCCATTATTGATTGAGGGAAACTCCTTAATTCAGTGTAACGCCTCGATTTTCTCTATTAAACATAAAGAAGATTGCCAAAGACTGATGAAAAGATAAATATTTTGAGTGAAATATTGTCAATTTCCTTCCAAATTATGTTCCTCTCAAACAATATTTTGTGAACACGACTGCCCTTCCTCTTAAATGGAGATACGAATTGACACATTCGATAATAACTTCTCAAGTTTTACAAATTGAGTACAAATTCTATTGGCAAGACAATATTACTATGTTGACAGGTTCTTGAATTTATGTCAATGGCAGCAGCTCTGGAAAAAATTCAACTACATAAGATAGGAGTGTTTTCCATAAATCTCCACGCTTGGCAGAAAGGTTGGAGATAGCAGCTTTTGAGATTTAGGTTTCAAAGCTGCCTGATCTTTCTGTAGACTCTGATTCGGTTCTTGCTTCTAACCGCAGCAAAATAACGGGGCGAAAGGGAGTGTCAGACTCTTTCTAACCCAAAAACCAACCGGATCCTTCTACAGCTTCAGGCCAAGGCCGCGGTATATTATTAGGCAGAATATCGACCGTGTATCTCCATCTTTGGTAGAGCAAACAGAGGCAGTGATTCTACTCAGTTGTTCCATTACGTCATGCATTTGAATAATTTATTTTCATTGAAGTTCTCGAAAAACAAATTAATTAACTAAAACTACAGTATTAGTAGAAGGCTTGTTATTGTGCCTTACTGGGTAAAAAATGTTGTCTGTGTAGAGTGCAATCAATAGTCGAACTATTTCTTTTCCGAAGTGGATATCTTTAAGCGCTAATTGAATAAGTTCCTTTTAAGTGGGCGTTGTCCATCATCAGGCGAGATAGTGGCCAGAGAATGGAAAATGTACCTAAATAGAACTAAGATCTAACCCACCTACGAATCTTGCTAAATAGAGGACATCCAAGCTCCAATATCAGATGGTCGTGTTTTGTTTGTGTAGGTACTGACACATAGCTACATATCAAACTATGAATATCTATAAACTGATCGTTGAATCTTACCACATATCATCATCAGCCTATAAGCCGCCACTGACACACACGGAGAAGGTTTGAGCATTAAAAACCACACTAGCACAATGTAGGTTGACGATTTCAAACTTGTTATTAAAAATTAAAAGAGCAGGTTAACAATCACATCCGTCACCGTTTGTCAATAAACTAACTTAGTACATATAACTTGGAAGAAGTGGTATTTGCTAGTTTTCGAAACCGCACTCTTAAGAATAATAAGCTCGCGCCATAACCTCTAGGCCACCACGACGGTATGACCTTTGAATGTGCGCAATAATCACATAAATCTAGATCTTGATAGACTAGTTGGTTTAATGTGTATCCATGACATACAAATTTGTACTTTAGAACTGAAAAGGAAAGTTGAAAATTAATTGACGTGAAATAAGATTAAGGATAGCTAGACTTGCTGATGTTCCACCGTGCGTCACAACCCTAAGTTTTAATACCTAACAAATATTGGCGAACGAACGCCCACTACTTTATGATCTACATTAACGAACCCTTTATAAGAGGTCGTTATAATAATTATTATATGACGAAAACGTGCCCGAAGTGACCCGGGTAGAGTTGAGAGTGGCGGTGGCTCGCATCAAGAACACCGCCCCAGGGCCCGACGGCATTCCAGGCCGTGCATGGGTCCTGGCTATGAGAACTCTCTGGCCCCGACTAGCGGGGCTCTTAAGCGCATGTTTGGAGCGTGGCCAGTTTCCAAGCCGGTGGAAGACCGGAAAGCTGGTCCTGCTAAAGAAGGCGGGGCGCCCCGCAGACTCCCCATCTGCGTACAGGCCGATCGTGTTGCTGGACGAGGTGTGTAAGATCTTCGAGCGGATCATTGCCGGCCGCCTCGTCCAGCACATGACCAGGGTGGGGCCGGATTTGGCGGACAACCAATTTGGTTTCCGCCAGGGGCGCTCCACAGTGGATGCGATCATGCGCGTGAGGGTCCTGGCAGAGGAGGCAGTCGCCCGGGGTGAGGTGGTCTTGGCGGTGTCGCTCGACATCGCTAACGCTTTCAACACCTTGCCCTGGAGTACCATCCGAGAGGCACTCCGGTATCACGGGGTGCCGCGCTACCTCCAACGCATTGTAGGGGCCTATTTGTCGGACAGGTCGGTGGTGTACCCGGGTCGAGAAGGATGGGGTCGGCGAGAGACGTCGTGCGGCGTTCCGCAGGGTTCGGTGTTGGGGCCGCTCTTGTGGAACGTTGGCTACGACTGGGCTCTGCGCGGTGCGCTACTCCACGGCGTCGGCGTCATTTGTTACGCCGACGATACGCTAGTTACAGCGCGTGGGAAGTCGTACCGGCAGGCGGCCATACGCGCGACGGCTGGTGTCGCGCACGTCGTGGGTAGGATCCGGCGGCTGGGCTTAGAGGTGGCATTGCACAAATCGGAGGCCCTGTGTTTTCATGGGCCGAGGATGAGGCCGCCTCAAGGATCCAGCATTATAGTAGGAGGGGTTTCCATCGCTGTTGAGTCCACGATGAAGTACCTCGGACTCGTTCTCGACAGTCGGTGGAATTTCGGGCCGCACTTTACACGGCTCGCCCCCCGGTTGATGGGCGCCGCTGCTGCGCTGTCGCGCTTGCTGCCCAACCAGGGGGGGCCCATCTCCTCCTGCCGGAGGCTCTACATGGGGGTCGTACGGTCGATGGCGTTATACGCTGCGCCAGTATGGGCGGACGCCCTGACGGCCCGCAACATCGCCGCGCTGCGAAGGCCACAGCGCGCGATGGCCGTCAGGATAATCAGGGGATACCGTACGATCTCCTTTGAGGCAGCGAGCCTCCTAGCCGGATCCCCGCCCTGGGACCTCGACGCAAAACTCCTCGCGTCGCTCTATTGGTGGCGCGCGGAGGCAGTCGAGCGGGGCGAATGCCTGGTGCCTCGACAGGTTGAGGCACGCAGGGAAGAACTCCGCCAGACCTTAATGGCGGAGTGGCAGACGCGCTTAGCGCAACCCACGGCGGGGCACGCCGCTATAGAGGCGGTAAGGCCCGTTCTAGAGGAGTGGCTCAATAGGAGCCACGGCGCCCTCAGCTTCCGGCTGACGCAGGTGCTTACCGGACACGGGTGTTTCGGGAAGTACCTGTGTCGCATAGGTCGGGAGCCGACGTCTCAGTGCCATCATTGTGGTGATTGCCGCGACGATACGGCGCTGCATACCTTGGCGGAGTGCTCAGCTTGGGCCGAGCAGCGTCGTGACCTGGTCGCGGCCGTAGGTGCTGCGGGAAATCTCTCGT